AGGAGTGACGTGGGGGAGTTCCAGAGTGTGTTTAGGTCGTTCATGGAGATCAATGCGATGCGAAAATCGCATAGGATCTGTGACTCTTCCGTCTCCAAGTTCATCCGGCTCGAGCCTTGTCGGCCCGATGAGCGTGTCTATATGGGGGGTCCTTCTGACCCTCCTTTCTTTTATGTGTACCAGTGTCTTTTTAGGGATTTAGGCGTGTGTCTTCCCTTTTCACAATTTGAGTGTGATTTTTTGAATTTTATCAACTCGGCACCTTGCCAGTTGCACCCCAACAGTTGGGTGTTTTTGCGGGATTTTCAAGTCCTATGTTCGGCCTTGGGGATAGAGGTGTCTCTGCCTGTTTTTCTTCATTTTTGCCAGTTAAAAATGGGTGTTCCTCCTTATGGCTTAATGTCCCTAAGTGGGAGTAAGGCTGGGGGTCTATTTTCGAACTGGATTCCTCTCAGCCCAAGGATGAAAATTCCCATTACCACCTAAAAGTCGCAGCTGAGCTTTTGATGTAAGTGATGTTGTTTCTCTGGAAGTTTAATCTTCAAATCTAGTATGTATATGGTTACTTATTTATTTGTTTATGGTAGGTGTGATGAGAAGTCCCTTGAAGCCTCTTTCTGCAAACGTGTTATGGTGACTCGTGGTGACACCATAACAAAATCGCTTGATCCAACTTCTGCAGCTCTCAGTAGAGATGCATTGGCTAAAATAGTTTATTCAAGGCTTTTTGACTGGTAATTTCTGTGGTGTTTATGAAAATATAAATAATTTTATATATCCTTATGAAAGCTTATTTTAGTATGTATGAGTTTCTGTTATTCAATTGATGCGAACATCTGTTGATCCAGGATTGTGGACAAGATTAACAACTCTATTGGGCAAGATCCAGATTCAAATAACTTGATCGGGGTTCTAGATATATATGGATTTGAGAGTTTCAAGACAAACAGGTGCTTAGCCAGTACCCTTTGCTTTCCTGCTGTTTATATGAAGTGGGATTATTAATCAAGGAACTTATATGCTTTGTGTCTGAATTATGAAATAAAAGTTGATAAAGATGTAAAATTTTTATTTTATGCATTAGTTAATATTGTCCATAGTTTTTGCTTTGCTTGATGGATACCCAGGATAAATGGTGCAACAAAAACTTTTTAGCCAAAAATGCTTTGTAATTAATGACTATAGTGTAATTTCTTGGATTGACCTTTTTCTGTGCCTATGTTACTAATATTTTGAACTGTTCTCTGTAATGTTTAAATGGTCCTGCACAGCTTTGAGCAATTTTGTATCAATTTGACAAATGAGAAATTACAGCAACATTTCAACCAGGTTTGATTCTTTTATTTTCTGTCTTCTTGGAATTCATTATCTTGTAAACAATTTCTGTTGACTCAGTTAACATTTTATTATGCAGCATGTCTTCAAAATGGAGCAAGAGGAATATACAAAGGAAGAGATTGATTGGAGTTATATCGAGTTCGTTGATAATCAAGATGTTCTTGATCTCATAGAGAAGGTATAACATTTTCATGATGCTTGTTTTCTTTCTTAAAACCTCCCATCAAATAAAAACTTGGAGTAAGTTAATCGGTTATGAATAGTGATTATTCTATTATTTTTACAAATACCTAGATTTTTTGACAAAATGTAGCATGGCTAATCTTGGTCATTTTGCTTTAAATATACATCTATATATATGCATTATGTAGTGACGTGTGCATATGCATAGCCTTTGAGATTGTAAGATTGTCCTGCTTATTCTTTGTAGCATGTTTCCAAGATCAACGCATGAAACATTTGCTGAAAAGCTATATCAAACATTTAAAGACAACAAACGCTTCAGCAAGCCAATAGTTAACATTATTGAAAAATGTTTTTGGTTTAGTTAATAGTTTGCTAAGAAGTAAGAACACTTTGCCTACGTGAGATCTTATAATCTTCATCAATGGCGCAATTTTTATGTTCACTAAAAAATAAAAACTTCAGGGTCATTTAATGAAGAAATCTTGATTGTTGGTTGATATTTACCAAGAGATGAATGATTCTTTAGTGGATGAATACTCTTTGGTTGTGATTTTCATTTAATTTTACTTGAAATTTATATTGCAAGAAAATTTTTGTTTTATTCTTGATTCTTATTTATTTGCTATTTGGACTGGATGCAGGGCCAAAATGCATTTACTAGATCACGGGGTGGTCTTCCAGTTGGAGATGGAATATCTTTGAATTCTGGTGTGCATTCTGTTTCTGGTGTGAATCGTGTTGTGGGGGGTGGAGTTGAAAAGTTTGTTTCAGTTTTTTTCATTTTCTTTACAAAAACAACTTTATTCGGAAAAAAAAAATTGTTTGCTGAGGTTTTAGTGGCCACACTTATATTTGTTGCACTCTTGGATTTGACTAGTTAGAATATCCACTTGTGTTTTGATACTTATTTTTGGTTTGTTTCTTTAATGATATACATTTATTGATTTATATTTAATGTCTGTAAGCACTTGAGTTCATAATAGAATTTTAACTTTTTATAAATGATTTTATTCAAAAGTAATAAATATGAATTATTCTTGTTGTTATTATTATTATTATTATTATATTTATTTATTTATTATTACTATTGGGATTTATTTTTATAAATTATTTTATCTAAAAATAATAAATAAAAAAATATTATTATATTTAGTTATTATTAAGAGTTTATAAAAACTAAACTTCTCCACATTTCTCCTTATTTAAGAAGGAAAGTATTTTTGTGGGTCCCACTCAAATTTTTAAAATTTCTTCTATTTTTTTTTATCAAACACCTTATCATGCTTCACTTACACTACTTCTCCTAAGGTGAAGTACTTGTTAAGTGGTCTATGGATGAATCATCAAAATTTATTATTATATATAATAATATAAAATTGAGGATTAAGATTGATGACTTGTTATCGGTTAATTATTCAGTTTTTGTTTACAAGCTTATGACCTTCATGCTTCAATGTTGCATATCACCCTAGCACCCACCTCAACATTGTTCATTAGCAAGAATCATAAATGAAATTTCGAGGAAGACTCGATATGTAATTGAAGAAGGTGAAAAAGCTTTAAATTTATTAGTTATTATGTTGGAAAAAAGAAAAACAATGTGTTTTAGAGGTTGGTCATTGAATGGTGTTCCTCACTACTACAAAAGCACTGTTCTACATCGGTTCTGAAA